TATATTCCAGGGAGGGTTTATTTTACTGTTCTATGAGAAGAATCCCCTGTGTCCTTAATATCCCTTTTCATTATGTTTCTGACCGATTAAAGAGGCAATGTAATTAAGAATGTATTGACCGATTCCCTAAGTAATCCTATTTAAATCTTGGTTTCGTAACATTTCGGGAATTTTTTAGTGTTTCCGTCTAAGCCCGTAATTATTATCATCCTTTTTGTTACCTTTTTTTTTTTAAATATAATAAATATCTGTTCAATTAGCATTATTCTGCGAAAAGATAAGTTTAAGAATTGATGATAAATTCTATACATTAATTAATATATATGATTAAAGATGCCTTTGTTGTACCATCATTCATTTATACTTCCTTGTCGAATTTCTTTTTATTTTTCTTATATATAAATTACTATTTCCTTATTGAGAAGAGGGGCTGAGTTAATTATTGATAGCTTCCGTTTAATTACCGAATATTTTTATTAATTATTTTATTATATTTATTTGCACCGTGGTGCCTAAAGTGCGTTAGGTAAAAAGAGTCATCTGCGCCCCAATTAGGTTATAATTCCTCAATTGTTATTTTTGTCTCCGTCGGATGCCTTCAAGTTCTGTTATACTGGATAGATTTCCTGTTATTAAGTCAGCTAACTAAGAATGTTCTATTATTGGTTCTTTGCATGTTATCCTTCCCAAAAGAATATATATAATTTTTAAATATTTTCTTACCTGATTTTTTATATTTTACTAAGTTTTTAATTAGTAGTTATTTTATTCAAGCAATACTGTATTTCATGAGGCAATTAGAATAAATCAATTGATTTAACGTTGGTTTTCTCATTTGTTTCGGGAGACTGTATCTATAAGTTTAATGCTGAGACACTATATGTATATATAGTTATCGAATCACTACCTAGGTAACTATATATATGCGAAAGCATTAGTGACATATGAAGTGAGCTGTCAGAAGGAACAGGAAGATAGAAAATCAGGTCTGCAACTCGAAGCAAGAGAAGGAAATAATAGAATTCCTAGACAAGGATAACTAAATCCGCGTCATAGCAAGCCTAACTGAAGGAACCAAACACACCCTACTAAGTGACATAAAGGTCTCACTTCAAGATAAATATTCTGACATAATTAATTTATACTCAAGAAATTAAGGGTGAGATAATAAGAGTAGATATCCAGTGCTGAATGATGAATATATAAGAACCAGATAGAAAGAATACAATACTTTCCCCAATCCCCGGAGATAGTATAAAATAATATATCCAATCCCCAAAAGAATCAAAGGAGTCGACCGGTTTCCTACCTTGGATTTTTCCCCTATGAAGAAGATAAGACGTGTCATATAAAAGAGATTGTATAAACCTGAGAGGTGACGGACGTGGTATAGGGATAGCGTAAAATAGATCAACCCTGAAAATAGTAACCCACACAATCTGTAATAAACCTAAGTAACATCAACTGAGTATATTGGTATGACTTTAAGGACTAACAGACAAATATTGTGTCCTTCCCGAGACTATCCAATTTACTAAAATAGCCGAAAACAAATCTTAAGCAGATAAGACAAACAGATTGAAGGATCAATAGAGGACAAGACTACCAAAATAGTTCCATAAATCGTGTTTAACCGTCTCTGAACAGAACTTCTAATACGAGAATCCAAAATAGTCTTAGGATGAAGACAAGGAGCCAAGATAAAAGGACTGAATGTCGGGTCCTGCCTAAGAATCTTTGGGAAAAAATAGAAGATCAAACATTACCAGGAAACATCGAGGAGTGGTTTCGAATTTCAACTCCAAAACAGAGGAAGGATAAGATTATAGTAGTAGTAGTCTCAGACTATCTATATAGTCAGAAATCCAAGGAACAGCCCATAGGGGAGGAACAACCTCGTTCAGCTAAAGTAAGGGGGCCAAAGTCTATTCCCATAAAGAAAAGGAGGATAAGATAGAAGGAGGAATGGTTAGACCCAGATGAAACCGGTGGAGTAAATTTATTCTAAGTATCTCCCGAAGGGGGATTAATTAATATAATGAATAAACCCGGGATAGGAATTATCCTCTTGAATATTTTATTCCGATCGGGGAAAGTCCCCCCGTCATGGAAGTAAGGAGATGAGTAACGTCATAGAAGAATGAAATATAGGAAGGTACATGCTGTTTTATTTCTTACAAATGGTGATTGATATATTAGTGAAATGATAACGTCTATCTATATATTAGAGTGATAATTTCTTAGTTGTGTGCAACAAAACTATAAATTGTGTTAATATGCGTCCTTTCTCCAGTTTTATTAGTCTGCTTGTCCCTTAATTATTAGTGGAACAACAACTGTCTGGTTGTAAAAGGACTTAAAGTGTCCAAAGTGAGATAGTGAATAGGAACATTCTCTTCCCAAAACTATATGTGAAGGGGCGTCTTTATCAGAGGAGGGATGATTCCTGAATCAAGAAATCAGCTAACTTTCCTATGATGTGTTCTGTGTTCGGATGTCCTTACCTTCTAAGGAATTGTGACAGTGGAATAATCCCTGAACAAGCCGGGGGAGTTCCAATTCGGAGTTAGAGGAGTTGTTGTTTTATCGATTTGTTTCGTTAAGTCCTATCGCAAGGAAATGAAGACCACCCTTATGAGATTGTGTCTTTCTCCTTAGTAGGGTGGAGGAAGTACCACCATTAGAGTGATGTCTTATAAGTAGGCTATAAAAGTACAACCTTAAAGGGGGTCAACTGGAACAATAATTTCATCGTTTGTGACATGTGTTCTATGTTGTCACTTCTGATTATTAGGATGGTCGTGGTGGTGTGTTGTGGATAGACAAGTGTATATGTAAAGGGCCAAGTGATAAATAAATCATTACGTACTCGCTGTATAGGTATTTTGATAGCTTCAGGTGACCCCCAAGTCTAACGGTACAGGGAAGGTTAGATAAGTAATATCGAAGCCTATTCTCCTAGTAAGAATAAAAATACTGTTCTCCTGGGATGACGTTAAATCAGGACTGGACAAGTAGCTGACTCTTTAGCACTGAACAATCCGATATGGAGGAGTAATTGACATTTGAATTTTACTAGCAACCTCTTGTAAAATAGCAATATTTGACAGGAAAAGGGACCCAACATTTTTCAACCGAATGACGATATCCAAAAAGTTTATAGGTAAGAAATAAATTGCCTCAAACCTAAACGACAAATAATTCCTCATGTTAATTTTATTACAAAAATTTACAGGACAAAAAATATTTCAAACAAATAACAGGTGAACA